GAGAGAGAGAGAGAGAGAGAGAGAGAGAGAGAGAGAGAGAGAGAGAGAGAGAGAGAGAGAGAACGGACAGACTGATAGATAAACTGACAAACAGACTCAGACGTACAGACAGACAAATAGAGAGGGAGGAGACATGCAGCATAGCTAGTAGCCAGTGACCCACTCCTGCATAGTTCTCACGTGAGGCCACTAAACCGGTGAGCTTGACAAAGGTGACCGGGGCACATTACTTACAAAACAACGCACCTGCCAGGGTGCCATAACACATTTCTCATCTCAATCCAGGTGCCTTTTCTTACCATGTGATTTTAACATTAACAACATAATGGAACATTTATTTACATCTCCTTCATGACATTATTGAAATTAAATGATCTGAATTTTGAAATGATATCATGAACTGAACTCCCAACTGTGAAAACTGAAGCTACCCCAACTCCACAATTGCTACAGCGACCACCACCCAAAGAGGGGGGAAGAGGGAATGGGGAGGAGAGGTGAGCACAAAAGGCAGCACGGCATATTGTGGAGCACCCACAAGACACATCAGCTGAAGTTGCATGACAGACAAGCCTACCTCCTGAAGCATTTGCAGGCATTCATACAGCCGAGGGCGAAGGAGAGCGTACAGAAAAAGGACAGACCGTGGACACACAGGCACCCGGGGAATGGCAGCAAGGGGGCTTGTCTAAATGTCGAACACGAGGGCGCCGTCCGGAGCTCGGGGAGGGCGGGGTCGGGGGGCAAGAGCAAAAGGGGGGGAGCTCACAACACAGGGAATAAAATTCCGGAAGGGAACGGATTAAAGCTGAACGGTACTTCCTAAGAAACTCACCTAATGCCTAAACGACAAAACTGCAATCCCCCGACCCCGTCCAGTCTGGCAATCGTTAAAAACTCCTAACAGGGCCATAAAAACCCGAGTAAGAAGAGGGCAGCCGCATCTTGACCCACCACAAAGGACGAGAGCATGGGACCAACGACGCTAAGATGCACATACAAGGAACCGAAGTCAAAAGGGGTACATGGTGGTGCGGGGCGGCGGTTTCAAAAGGGTTGGGGTCAGGAGTGCAGATGGGTTGTTCCATATCCAATCCACCTGCCAATGCAACTGCATTATCACAAGGGCGGCGGTTTCGAAAGGG